CTTTACACTACAGTCATTCACACACACATTCACACACTGATGGTGGTAAGCTACAATGTAAATAAATTTTAATTTATTTAATTCATTTATTTAAAACTTGAGTTGGGAATGCCATTAGCTCTATAATGACTGAGTTGGTTAAGGTTGATTACCAGTGGCAGCCATATTGAATCAGGTTGACTGTAAAAGTTAATAAGTTATAGTTTTTTTTAAGAGTTCCAATAAAATTCACCCAGTGAATCATGAAAAATTTAACTAACACACACAGGTAATAGCATGATCCTTCCTCTTTCATTTTTATTTGATAATAATGAAAGGTTTTAAGAAGATGTTTTTRTTTTTGTATATACTGAACACTCTAGAATTCCTAACTCTAACCRAAAATATAACAAAATATTTGATTAACTTGAGAACAGTTGTCTTGTGTGTTTGTTTGTGCAATACTGCCCCCTTCAGGACACAAACTGTACACACATATAAAACTAATTATCAGTACCATGAAAGTTAGGGATTATTTAAAATACAAAATTTGATGTGCATAAAGTAAACATCAGCAAACATTAAAAAAATATGACTTCATTTTTACATATTTTTCTCCATRAACCATGTATCAATGGTAAACTTTGAATTTATGATTCAATAKAAACAGGTGAAGAATAATATTTGTCCTGCCGCTAAGCTGTTAGTTTTGAGTAACTGTAGCYGATTGAGTAACTTAGTTGTGTGTATTAATGTTTCAAAATAAGCTGCTTTAAAGCCAGCATTGACCATAAACTACATCTCCCATAATGCATGTTGATTATGCACGGGAATACTGTCGGACAGTGGGAGCATTTAAAATTCAAGACTCAACTCAACACTGAGGCTGCCCGTAACCTGTGTTGTAAAAATTCACTTTTACTCTTAATATTCTGTATTATTTATTTCACATTTACTCAGTCATGCACATCGTAATTTTCAGCGTTTATAAGGTGATGTGTTACCCTGTTTCTATGCACAAAACACCACATAGAGCTCAGTTGTTTGTTAGCAGTGCTCAGCCGTAGCAACCAGACAAGGAATGTGATGTTTTTGTGAAGTTAAACAYGAAACATTGAAGTTAATTACAACTGGTCCTTTGAGGGCCACCATAACGCTCATGTGACTCTGTAAAAAGGAATTTGACACCCCTGCCATATACTATAAAAATTACAACATAATTTTATTATCTTACGTAAAATATTATTTTACAGTCTTACTGCTAAACCTCAAACATTTAATCAGTTGGTGTGCAAGCTGCATCATAAAGCAGAAAAATAATTATTTGCAATTTTAACATGAGGCTGCCACACAGTGAAGCACAGGCTTTTATTTTGAAGGAGGGTTCACAGAAAATTATGGCTATTTAAATTTTGTTTGTCTCGTTTTTTCTCTCTGTGCTCTTTATTTGATCGATTTCATTTAATTTTATATACTTATTTATTAATTTTTGTCAGATCAGAATTGATTCCAGTAACAAACTAAGACACAAACGAGCAGACGCAACTGTTGTTGGGAAGAAGACAGCAACAAATATTGTTCTTAAATACWCTGATGTGTTCTGTCTCAGAACAGAGCCTGGTCCAGAAGCTGAGCTCAGAAACATTTCTGGTTCAGTTGTAGGTGTGGTAAATCATTTAGGTCACWGTGGGTCAGAATGATGGTTTTCCTTCTCTCTGGCTCGTATTCTGGCTCGGTCCAGTTCAGACATCACTGGGAGGGGACCTTCATACATGTTGGTTCTGATGGCTCGAAGTTTCTCCTGGTAGTCATCTGGCAGMCCATTCTGCTCTGCTCCCATCCTGATCACCTAATCATTGGCAAAAAGACATCACTGAGTGATAAATGTCCAACAAGTTGGCGTCACAGATCTGTTCCCAAACGGCTGCTGCCAGGACTCAGCTGTCAGACATGAAGTTTAAAGATTAACTTTAACAAACAGAAACTACAGGAATTAAAGTCCAACAACAGATGATTGTAGAAGGTTCAGAAGGACAGTTCAGTGATGTTAAATATGCATTAGCAYCTAATGGCTAACCAAACAAGAAACCATTTAGTTTTTTCAAAGACTTATTAAACAGTTGTGTGTTGTGAAAGAACTCTTTGTCATATCAAATCTCTACATTTTCACATCATTGTTGGTTTAATTTGTTGCCGCCACTACAATGTATTTTATAGCTTCTAGCTTCAAGTTCATCAGTTCACCAGGAGTTGAGTAACTTTTGCACTGATTAGATGCTCCAATCAGCCACTGGTATCTTTAAAATCCAAAACGTGAGCAGCTGCCAGTGTGGATGAACCAGGTTAAGTAGGGAACGACATATAGTGCATACTATCTGTAACCTGTGTGTGTGTGTGTGTGTGTGTGTGTGTGTGTGTGTGTGTGTGTG